TGCTTAGACAATTTACACTGCACACGTCTGCGGTGCAGTGTGGCTCTGATACGCCACTGAAGCTGATTGCGGCCACTCAATCCTTGTGTTTATGTTTTTATACAGTCTATGGTTTATTCCAGACGCGTCACGCACGTTTCTGAAGCAGCTATCTTTGCTGCTTCTGTAGATACACGCATACGCCTCCTTTGAATAAATATAGCCAAAATCCCACCAAAATCCGTTGCCATGACTTATCGCGAGAAGCAAAAGGTTACGTTTTAGTCGCATAACATTGGTTAATGGAAACGCCGTCATTTCGCAATACTTTTTTATCGACATTTATAAAATATCGCCAAAGTTTTGCGCAAATCTTTAATGGAAACGCGCCGTGTTTGTTTCGCTTCGCTTCTCCTTGTTTATTGAGATTTAGGCAGGTGTAGGTCGGTGAATAACTTTTTTTTTTAATCGAAACACCGTGTTTTATCTAAAAATCGCTGCAGAGTGAATTCGTCTGCAGCGAGGAGCGCGTTTTTAAAAGTTGAATCATATGCATTTTCTTTCGCCCCATGATCGCTCTGAACGGGTTTCTCTCTGTAGGTTAGAAGAGCGAAAACCCGGAAAGGAATTTCAGCGGATTCAATACAGAACGCCTTGATTTAGGGAGGGAAAATCTCAGTCGCTCCGCTCCATTCACATACTGAGTTCCAGACCTGCTTTCAGTCTGTGCGTTGCTTGGTGATAACATGAGGTTTGAAGCTTTGACTTCTGTTTTTATAGAGAATAGTGGGCTATCCCAACTAAACTAGCAACTTTTCTGAAACGAATGTTGTCGGATACTATAACGTGTATAAAACCATCACAATCACAATGGTGCAGCAGTACTAAATATCTGATGAGAGCCTTCAGTACAGCAGCACTCTTCCTCTCGTGACATTGCTTAAATGGCATATTAACCGAACGCAAAGGCTCGGTCTTAAAGCGAGTTCAATGAAAAGTATCAATATGAATAATGATTGAGTAGGCTCATTATATCCATTCACGGACTCTGGCTTTTATGGCTCCATGAATGAGTTCATTGCCCGCATCCATCTATCTGAATCTACATATGGTGGCACGTCAGTCCGTCTCCTCCTCTACCGAAGCACCTGCTCACAGTCACACATCTAACTGACAGACTACTGGCGCGAGGCTGCGGCTGTACAACATTCGAGCGAACGTTATTACACTGGAGTAGGAAGTTGCAACGCGTCGTGGAACCTCAAACCGCGTCATACGCGCCACAGACGTGAAGCGCGTTCCTCTGAATACGAGCTTTATTATTTAGACGTTCTATGTTCAGAGCCGTGAGAGATTTCATTAACGGACTGTCACGGCTGTGAACGGATTTGATGGATCACCTATCCCGTGCGTTTCCAAGAAGCGGGCGACCATACAGCGCGCGTTTCCGCAGAGTCTTACTGAAATGATTTTGGATAACGCTAGCTGAAACACCTGCTTGAAAACAGCGCACTACCCAGAAGAGTGAGAGCAGGAGATGGTGAGGCTCCTCGTGTAATGGGATGATGGTCTGCGCGTCATGCCAACACGCTATGAATTCGTCTTTACGTTGTGTATGTCGGAGCGACTGAACCCAGAGGTGTCCTGTAAACCCGAAGACCGCTTATTTAACTTAAGTTTTGGTTTCATTTAAACTGTTTAGTCGTGACCATGCCCGTCAGTGCCATGCCGAGGGGTCGGTCTCTGAGCCCGGTATCTCTGTCCCGCAGCCTCTCGCGGCTGAGGGAGTTTCGAACCCGGACTCGCATCATGCTTTCTCTGGGAGTCTCACAGATGGTGCTCGGCAGTCTAATTTTGGCTGTCAGTTTCGCCGCTTTGGCCCTCACGACATCTCCGAGGGTGAGACATTCGTGTCCCTTTTGGGCTGGATTCTCGGTAAGTTGCCTTTATTGTGGAACGATGGTGTATTTTTGCGCGTTTCCCCTGAACAGAGGGGTGATATTACGCGCCATTTGTGACCCCCGGCAACTGCAGAGTCAGCGATCACATCACGCGCGCCTCATTCATAGTTTATAATTCAATTCTCCGGCTCATCATCGAGAGCCAGCGGTACAATATTCACCAAATGCCAAATTAAGTAGCCTAGAAATAATTCGGGGGGCAGAGGGACTCTTTGAAGCTGCTTTATTGCTTGCATGGGCTCAGGTGAGCTCACCTATGAAAGGCTGTGTGGTTGGTGAATTGCCTCTTATAATGCAGCAGAATGAAGCCAAATGCTTATAGAAGACCAGACACGTTCATTTGCACCTCAATTATGCCTGTTGATGTTCTGTGTGAAAGTGTTTCAACAGGCTGTTTCTGGCTAGTATTGATTAATGTATCTTTGTTAGATTTTCAGACAGGAATAATTCTGTTCATTAATCACAATAAGAGCACGTCTTTTTCACAGTGTCTGGCCACAGTATACACTTTTAGGAATGGCTATGCATCTTTAATTCATCGAGTTTTCTTGTTTTATGTAAATACAAATGTTGAATATTGAATGTTATAACTGACATGTTGCCCATATTTTGTTAATATGTTTGTTGTTTTACCCTGCTGCTACTTGCATTGCATTTCAAAGAGCTTGGCATGGTTTGTTTTTATTGATACCTAGATTGAGATTATAATTTAATAGTAAAGGCTCTGAAAGAACCTCTGAAATTTGGGAGATGAAAGCTAGTTCAAGTAAAACCCAGTGTGATTTTAGCTAATGTAAGTCTGTTTTAATTCCTTTTTTATGTCAATTTCTTAAATGTCTGATATGTGCATTTGGATGCACCACCTTTTATACAAGTATGACATACTCTTGATGAAAGCAGTCACAGTGTGTGTTACATGTACGTGTGTTAACACTGTAATACTTTCTGTATTTGGACCTTTGATCAGTAACAAACCGTAATAGAGGTTTCAATTACATTGTCATTGCTCCTCACCAAGTAGCTCATAAGCACAACCCTCTGATTCACCTTTACAGGACACTGTACAAGGAAGTTTTGTAGGACAGTATTTTCAACACGTTAAAATTTAATGTCTTACTGTAAATATTTATAAAAGGCACACACTCTTGATTTCTTCCTGTAGAAGGCGTATGTAAAAGCTCAGTGGTGTTAATTATGGTTGTGAAAATGTAATATAGATGGGACAGGGACATGTGTGGTGGCAAAGATAACCAGCCTTGGGGTCAGAGGTCAAACAACAGGGCTCACTGATCATTCTCCAGACACTGAATGTATTGCATGCAGCAGATAAGGAAATGTGGCTGTGAGAAAGCTCAGCTGCTTCTTGTATCAGTAAGGTTTCATTGGATTTTCTTGTAGATGTATACTGTAGGTGCAGGGGATTAGCTGGTTTTAAATATCTAATAGGGTGTTGGGATAGATTTTGCGCCTCTGGGTTGTGGTGGGGGCAGATCGCCGTGTCAAAGCCTGAGGTCATAGCTCCAGTGAGCTGGTGAACATGCTGTGCTCCACACAGGAGTGGGCTGAGCGGCTGGGGCATAATGGCGCTCTGCAGAATTACTTACCAATCAGAGTCTGAATTAATGGTGTGGTCTAGAGTGAGCTGAGCAGTGCGATGAACAGTATGTGCGCATGTTCTTGTGCAAGGGGAAATGTAATGATTTAAAGTGTTCAAAATGTATCTATGCCACCATTCCTTTACATCACCGCCTACATTCCATGGTTCATGCCATACAAGAACCGTTTTGGGTTCTGCAGAGATCCTTTCAGTAAACGGTTCTTAAAGAACCATTTTTTTTGTCTTAGTGTGAAGAACATTTTAATAATTTAAGGAAAAGTTTTCCACTATAAATAACCTTGTGTGCATTGGATAGGTTCCATGGATGTTAAATGTTCTTTATAGAACCATAGATGCCAATAAAGAACCTATCCAATGTTACCACTAGTTACTTGTTTTTCTTTTATTTGCATTTATTATATCACACTAATCTTTTTTTTTTTTTTTTTAGGAAGCCCAGTATATTGGTATATTTGGTATTTTAAGATTTTATTTGGTATATTTTAAGATGCCCAGTATATTGATAATATTTCTTTATTTATTTTACCAATATTGCTTTCAATATTGGCTGATATTAGATTTCTTTTGTATTTCAGACAGTTTACTTTGTGCAAGCAGGCACGGCGCCAGAATTTTTTCTCTACCGGTGCTAAGGGGGGGCTAGACCAATATGTGGGGGTGCTAAGAAAATAAATTATATTGATGACGTCAGAGTTACTTAATAAAGAAATTGTTGTTTTTAAAAAATAATAAAAGCAGCTATGGTACACACCATATTCAACAGAAGTGTAGTTTTAATTTATATTTTGCCAACTAATAGGTAAATAGCTAAACCGGGGCTATTCAAAATTCTGACGGGGCTATAGCCCCCCCCCCTAGCCCCGGTGTAGCGCCGTCACTGTGTGCAAGCAAATTTCAAAATAAATATATATCCCTCTTTTGCAGGGTCTGCGAAACAAAACCAGCCCAATTGCTATTCAAACTAGCCCAATCACGTTTTTCCCCGTGGCTTTCCTCTTCGTCAGGTATCGCTTTAACCCGCAGACTAAATGATAACCCTCAGCAACAGTGTAAAAGTAGCCCTATCTATCTACCTTTTAAAATAATTAAGCACAAATATTCCATGTCTCTATAGTAATATAAGGTCCTAAAATGCTTGTGAATTAATTTATATAAAACTATTAGAAATGTTCTTTCATATAGTTTTAGGCGGAGTATAGCATGTTAAACTGTAGGATATTGCTTTCACTGCTTGACTCTGACTCGCTGTCAGAAAAAAATGTATAATAGCTGTACCTAGTTGTCACTGGGGCAGTACCCTCAAAGTACCTCTTTGTACCCCCACATGGTGCGCATTAGTATCTTAGGGGTACATACATGGATAGATGAGGAACAAAGGTGTATCTTGAGTATACTGCCCCATTGACTAGCAAAGGCACAATTTTTGTACTTTTTTAAAAGAGAGAATAGAGCAGAGGCTGAGGAACAAGGGGCAGAAAAAGATAAAAACATCTCATTCTTTTTTTCTGGTAAGACTTAAGGTTAACAGTTAAGGTCATGTTAAGAACCCCCTACATCTTTTCTCTCTGCTTTCTGCTGCTCATGTTCCCCACCTCCCTC